TTTTTTTATAAAAAAATTGATGGTCATTATGCTGTTAAGTATTATGTTAATTGCATGAAAGTTAAAGAAAACCCTATTTTGGACACTGCTGCCAGGATGGTGATTAAGGGAAAACCATGAAAAGTTTCATAAGACTGAAGTGCAGCTTGTGTTGGAAAACCAGTGTGATTGTTTTCTGTTTTGGAAGCAATGCAGTTTTATAGAGTGCTATATGGTGCAATAAATGTACATGGATAGCAGTATATTAATTCAGTATATTGATTTAGGGTCATAAAGTAATTTGCTTAATTAATTTTCAAGTGGGCATTAAATGAGATTACATAAAACACACTTTGAGATTTCATTGTAAAGTCCCCTGGGTTCATCTCTCTTTACTGTGTCACATAATTAGGAATCGATGATTATTATGCAGGTAAATGTTAGTCATGTTAGTATATTACACAGCTAGATAAAAAGTTTGATAGCGGCTTTTTTGGAATTTTTTGTTATGTTTTATTTTACATTTTCTTTTAATTATTTTTCAAACACTAGCATCTTCAAGATATCACTTTCAACCCCCATCCACCAGAAGCACTGTGCATTTTCTGTTTTTCCACATTAGGAGTTGTGTAGGTTTTTATGTCTTTAAACATTGTGTAATTATATTATTTTATGCACTGTCATTTTTTTTTCACATATTTGGATTTTCATTATGTGAATTTGAACTCTCACATATGGTCCTGAAACTATAATCTTATTGACTGTGTTGTTCTGTTGTACATTTTGTGAAAATTTTATCTTTCAGTGAAAGTTTCACATACTGGCATTTTCAGTATGGAACTTATAACTCCCAAGGGCATGTAACAGTTCACTTTTATTGATACTACCTGTTGTGCAATATTTGAAACTTGACTTTACTTGACTTTTTTTTAATTGAGTTTAAGCAATGAGTTTAAGAAATTTTCACTTTATCTCATTCTGGCATTTCCAAAGTTTAACTCTTATCAGCCTGAAGCCTTAGGGACTATTTCCAGACCCTATCACGCTAACTGTGGATCGATATATATCTCCAAGGGAATTCTCGCTAAATTGCAATCATTGTAACTGGCTTAGCTCTGTCTGTCACGCCTACTGAAACTGGCATGCCAGAATCCTAAGCTGCTTAAACTGAAAGCAATTTAGTGAGAAACCCCTTGGAGTTGGATTGATCCTGTTAGATTGATCTAGGTATGGGAACTCAGTCTAATGCTTGTTACACATTTTACTTTCATCCTAATCCAATGTTATGCAGAATTAGAATTTGATGTTGGCTATGCAGTTACAGTAAGCATAATACATTAATGCATCAAAATTGACAGTATCCTATTTCCTGCGTTTTTATTTTCTGGTTTTTGTCTGTACATTTGACAGCTTTGCTGCCTTGTTTTAACTTACAAGAAAGATTNAACTCAGTCTAATGCTTGTTACACATTTTACTTTCATCCTAATCCAATGTTATGCAGAATTAGAATTTGATGTTGGCTATGCAGTTACAGTAAGCATAATACATTAATGCATCAAAATTGACAGTATCCTATTTCCTGCGTTTTTATTTTCTGGTTTTTGTCTGTACATTTGACAGCTTTGCTGCCTTGTTTAGAGTTTGGATGGGGATATCACTCCACACAGTGATATTTGCCTGTCGCAGTTCATCACTATTTACCGGCCAATTACCATAGCTATTAATTCTGTGAGTTACTTTTACCCAAAGTTTTTAAATTGGGTTCATATCTGGAGAGTTTGCAGGTAAGGGTAGTTGCTGAACCCATTGGTTTTGAAGAAAAACAGTGATTCTGCGGCCTCGATGTGGGGTTGCGCAGTCGTCTTGGTACACAAAGTTGTTCCTGAAGATGACTCTTACCAATCGAAGCATTGTTTGCTGTAGAATGTCTCTGTAGGAATCCTGGATAAGGTTGCCTCCTAGAAAAACCAACTGGTCCTGGGCACCAACATGAAATGCTCCCCAAACAGAGATGTTACCATCCCCTGCTTGCACCCTAGGCAGTACACAATCATAGTTTTATGCCCCTCGTACACGTCGGTGGACACGGATTCGACCATTAACGCTGAAAAATCCATATCTGGCCTCATCACTGAAAACGACGTGATTCCAGTGTTTTAGCTGCAAACGCACGTGGTCCCCAGCCCATTGCAGACGTCGCTTTATGTGACCTGCTGTTAACAGTGGTTTCCCTACTGGCCTTCGTGTAAAATGACCGGCTTGCAGTAATCTCTTGTTCATGAGGGACCTTGAAACGGGCGTTTGGATGATATTCTGCCTCTCTTTTCTAAGGACACTGGTTGTCTTTGTACGACCAGCACGGTGTCCTCTCAGGGGAAGGCGATCCTGTCTTCTTGGTGTGATACGCGGACACCCTGGTCGAGGTACTGGAGTAGGTGCCCCTGTTGCAGTATTTCTTTGGAGGACTTTACAAACGGTTCCTGGTAAATGTTGAATTACCTGGCAATGGCTGTCCGTTTCTGGCCATTTTCTCTGACAGCAAGAATCCCATAGTAAGCAGCGTTGCTTAGCTGTCGAACCATATCTTCACTAAGGTACCTGTCACGTTTCAGAGCGATCCCTTTGTTGCTTCTCTAAACACACTCCAAAGATTGACCAAACCCATGTGTTTTTATACAAGGGCAGAAATTGCCAAAAAGACCACCCCTCACATTTCTGACCACAGGACATGCAACTGCATGCATCAATTGTTTCGAGAGTTGTGTGGTAATTAGGTAACACACCTGGCTACACATGGAGTGACACCTCAGCTTTGAATTTTAAGTAGTTAGAGAGAAATTTAATATTTTGTACAAAATTTACTCGCCAAAAAATAATATTCCATATTAAGTGGAAACCCTGTAATTGCGATAATAAACAATATTCAGACAAGAGAACAGATTTTTTTACTTGTTTTGCTTGCCATACAGCCTCGCGATTCCATTCTATGTCAATTTTGAGTAAGTGATCATTACTTCTTCTCTGATACTTGTTTAAAATAAAAAGGGGTCATTTTTTAAAATTTTATTAAAATAGCTAAATAATAGGTTTTAAAGTATAGGCATATATGTGCTAATATTGCACACCACAATACATAGATGTTCAATTCCGGTTTAAGTTGCATCAGTTCTGAAAGATCCCACAGACGGCCAAAAGCTTCCCTGAAAACGTGTAGTGTGCTCTCCTTTCATGTTTGATTTCACAAACGGTTTTGTTTACGATTTTGATCTTTTGAAATTGTTCTATAGCAGACGAAACCAGCAAGGCGGTGGACAGATATCAGCGGGCGCAGACCAGTCCGTCCTGCATTTTTTCTATTACATGGGAACTACGTTTTATTCAGTTGTCTCATATTTACCGCACGGTAAATTTGAGTTCATCTGTTTTCGCAACTCGACTCTCGGCTGTCTGAAGCACAACTTACTGGCCGGGCAAGCCAAATGGCGGGACGAAAACGAACAAACATAATTTATGAATTGAAATCGGCGGCTTCGTAAACCACAGAAGTAGCCAATTAAGTCATTATTTTACAGACACCCTGTTTCTTTTTAATGAAATATTAGACAGGAATATAACATATAAATTGTTATTGAATGTATCTCGCGAGCATAATTAACACAATGATATAAATACAAACAAAACAAATTTCGCGTTGATTATTATGATCTATATTGTAAATGTGCTCACATAAATTATCTGCCTTAACCTCCGTACATACAAGAGCGGCTGTTTTGTCTGTTCCAATTCACATATTTAAGGTGTAGTAGCGGGAAAGGATGCTTGGGCGTTTACCCCAACTTTCTTCAAACAGGCCAGTGATAAGCGTAGGAAGAAGGAGTAAAGAGAATCCCCCTGTCATTATATGTATTTTCTATGCTACTTCATAAACGATAACTGATATACTTCATATATGTGAATGATAAAGCATAAAAAATAAAAAAAAAACGTGAATTTGTAGGACCTATAATACAAAGAGTACACAGTCCTAGTTAAAGAGGATTGGAATAGAGCCCAGTGTGAGGAAGCGGAGGGTCTTGTCGTAGTAGTTCCTCAAAACTGTACACTGTCTGTCTAGTAATAATGCCTAGAGCCCCTTCACAGTGTACACTGAAATGGCAAATACTTAAATACTGTTTTTCTCCCAACCGCTTTTGTTTTGCTGAATTTCAATGCTTAACAAAATAAAAAAGACAATTACCATAATCAGGACTCATTTGATTTTATTTCTAAAAATTCAAGCGTACTACCAATAACCAACAAAGTCTTATCTTTATCATTCTTGCCGCATTTATATTAAATGTCCATCATATGCCTGCACACTTTTTTCACATGGAAATAATAATAATAATAATAAAAAACATCAACTAGTTTCATGAACAGACAAAACCAGCTATGTCTTATCTTTATAATTCTTTTTTACATTAATCTATATACATCGTACGCATGATATTAAGCCCCTGTCACACTTATCCGGAATCAGCTGGAATCAAGCGGACCAGCAGGAATGACTAAATTTAAAATTCGTACTACAATCGGGAAGAAATTTCAAATTGACCTAAATTCTTGTAAGAATGCAGTTGGAATGCTCAGAATGCGCTTGAATCCGCCTGGAATGATTCGTGCACATTTCGGCTGTTTTAGCTTTCAAATGCAGCTCGAATTTAGTTGGAAAACTAGGAATATCAATAATGCTGTCAGAATGCAGTCAGAATATTTAGAATACACTTCGAATGCCGTACAAGTGTAGTTCGATTGCTGGCTGAAATACGATCGAGATGCTTTCGAGTTGCATTCTGGCTCATTCTAGCAGGATTTGAAGTATCTTGCCATTTCGGTAATTTTCCACTTAATATACACTTCGAAATTTTTTAACATGAGCAAAACATTCGGGCCGGCCACAAGAATGGGTAAAAATATTTGGAATGCACTCGGAATTTTTAGAATGCTCTTCGAATATCCAGGAACGTACAAAGAATTGCCTTTCCAACGGCATTCTTGCTCATTCTTCCTCTAGTGTGACGGGAGCATTGCTTCTTGCATAAAAAAAATTGAAAGAGAAAAGGGATCTACTAATACAATTAAAAGATACAAAAAAAGAAATCCATTGCTAACAATTGGATACTGCATGTTATAAAACGTATCCTCCAGAGGGGAAAAAAATTATCTGCAGGATAAAAGTGCTCAAAGTGATAAAATGATTTAATCCCTCATTTCATATTTACACATACATTGATTTTAATTAAAATATTCATATAGAATTTCTTCACACTTTCAATAACAATAGAAAGAAATAGATTTCTTATGTACGTGTGTAGTGCGTTCATTACATTTTTCTCAGTGACATCACAATTCAAACATCACCACAGTGTAATATCTTGTGAGTCAATTGCAGTCTATATACTTATACGTGGATACTGCACCGGTGTAAGTTCCAACAGCGAGCTCCCCGTTATTATTGATACTGACGGACACGGGGCGTTTAAAGTCGTCACTCCCGGCGGTCAGCATAAAACGTAGAAATCTACTGAGTTCTCGCCTTGTCGAAATATTTCGTATGAATCTTCCTCGTGGATTAAGGACAACCACTCTGTGATTAAAATTGTCAGCTATGAATATGTGCCCAAACTTATCTATGCACACTCCGAGTGGATTATTCAGTTGTCCGTCTGCACTTCCACTCTGACCTCGCGTTCCGTATTGGAACATGACGTCACCCTGGGGTGTCACTGCATACACACAGTGGGCACTGTTGTCGCTGACTATTATTGCTTTGATGCCGCGGTGGTATGCACAGCGCTGTAAATATTTACTGCACATTGGGATAGGGATTCTGTTAACAAGTTGGAAAGATTTCAAGTCGTACACACAGATGCACTGTGCACCGCTATCACACACGTAAACCTTACCCTCTGTACGGTCCACAGTGATACCCCAGGGGTCAGTCATATCACCCTGACCGAAACATTGGACAACCTGACCTGATGTTGAATACAGTCTACAACTTTTATCTTTGCATGTGACCAAGAATCTATCGTTACTGACTGTACTGATACACCTCGCCCCTCCCTTTTTACTAAACACTCTTTCAAGTTCACCTGTGCTGGAGAATACACACACGGTCTGTAAGAACATAATACCACATGCAACTAAAAAGCAACCGTCATCCGTGCACTGGCTGTCCAACAGCAGTCTCTCAACATAAAAAGATATCTGCCGCTCTCGCGTTTCGAGCCATGTGACCTTCTGAAATTCCATCAGCTCGGGGTAGTATACTGTCTCTTGTTTCAAACTTCCAAAACATGCATCGAAGGGACCCCGGTAAGTTTTAGCCGTAATGGACCCCTTTTTGATGGACAGCGGCCGTGGTTCAGGAATTTTAGGAAACTGTAGCACAAGGTCCATTTTTTTCCCTGGTGTAAATGTGATGTCGGTGGTCTTGGTATCAAAGACCGGTTCAGATGTCTGTAACTCCTGGATTTTAGTTTGGAGTTTTTTAGAGTGGGTCATGACGTCTATGTCAGAACCAGTGTCTGTGAGCTGCTGAACGAAATCACGAATACTCTGAATGGAAATCCTGTTCATTTCTTGATTGTCCTTTTCAGCTTCTAAAGTCTTCACCTGCGTGGAGGTGAGTGTCTTCACTTCTGCTGTTATTTTGCTGCTATTGTCATCTATAACTTTTTGCATTTCGCAGTAATCGGACTGCACTTTTGTTCGATACGTTTCCAACACCTGTTTGACACCTGTTAAATACGCGTTCGTCTGTTCACGTACGTCTTTCTCTACTTGCTGGTAATAATCGTTAAGTTCTCTGTCAATAGTTTTACTGTTTTCCTTTATCTCCTTTGTCATGGCAATTTTTTGAGAATCCACCAAACGAAGAATTTTTTCTTGATTTTTTGTCAGCTTTTCTTCTGTTCGTACAATGGCCTTTTCTGCCTTTACAAAGCGAAGCAGTGTCTCCGTTGGGAGGCATTTTACCTTCTCTTGCAGTAGATCCCGTTGAACCTTCACCACATCCCCTACTTTTTTGAAGTCGTGTTTGCTGTGGGTTTCTACAACACATTCCCTGCATATGACGGTGTCATCGTTTTCACAATAGAATGCCAACTGTTCTCCGGCGTGTTTATCACAATACTGGGTTTTATCTAACACGTGGCGTAACTGTTCCCGTGTGTGTTCTGAGAAGTCGACTTGTGACAGAGGTACAAAGTGATGTCCATTTAATGCATGGGAATCACGGCATGTAGCACACATCTGGTTGGCTTTTGGACATCCCTGGCACAGCAAAGTAGCCTCTTTATGCTTACAAAAATCACAAAGTTTCCCCTGAAGTTTTCTCTGACTTTTCGTGAAGTCTGCAAGTTTTTTCAAAAAGAAGTTTTTCACAAGAGTTTCTAACCCACCTGGTGGTATGGGGGCCTCTTGGCGACACACGGGACAGGAGAACTTGTTCTGGACACCATTTTTGGCTGCATGGTCAGCAATGCATTTCAGGCAGAACGTGTGGTAGCAGGGGAGCACTCTTGGGTCTTTATATTCCCCTAAACATATATGACACGTAAAAAAGTTTTCGCTTAAGACGGTGTACAGCCCTTTGGAAGCCATTGCCATGGTATAGGCGCCCAGAGTGGGCACAGCGCCCCGCCCCCTACACGCTGACCGCCCCGCTCTAATGTTGCCAAAGCCGTTGTGTACGCTTTATATATCATTTAATAAGTTATCTATACTTCTTCAAAGTTGTCACCCGATTAACACATCCAAATCAGGTGATGTTGTCAATAACCAGGACGGTATCCAAGTCCAGCATGTACTGGCTTAGTGCTTGACATATCACTGATACACTGTGAGCGGTGTCATTCCGGTGACATGTGCCAGAGTGCGCAAGTGTCTCGATTCCATGGCCCCGTATCTCGAAATAGAATCGGTTATGGAATCGAGACACTTGCGCACGTAAGCAACATAGCGAACCTTTCGAGATACGGAGCCCAGCTCTCAATTCTTAGAACAGATGAACATATCTTTTACAGATGAATATATCGTAGGTTAAGTGCTCTCTTTTATTTAATCACTGAAGCAGAAGAGAGCTACGGTATGTATCATGAACAATTCCCTAGTTCTGAAAAAAAAGCTGACCCCTTGTCAAAGAACGGGGGCAGGGGGGTTAAATTGTCCGAAACATATGTTTTGGCAAATAAATCGACAATTAAACGACACATACTGAATGTCACTCCTTTTTGCATAAAGTAGCAAGGAGGATGACGGCACTAAACTAGGTTGAAATAAGGGCCTAGGACTACCATTACTTGGGAATATTAGTCCAACTGGTAGTAGGTAGGACTTGTACTACTGGCGAACTTTTATTCGTGTTATTGCACGTAGGACTTGCGTTACTTGGGAACCTTCGTCCTACGGACATTGAATTCTAGGATTGCACGCCCTAGGACTTGCATTCCCAGGAATTGCGTTACTAAAATGTGCACATCTGCATCACCGGCCCCCTACACGCCCCGACCGCCCCGCTCTACTACTGCCAAGGTCGTCTAAAAATTATCTGTACTACTAGTGTAATGTAAGTAATTGACAGCCACGAGTGAAACAAGGGGAGGGGAGTGCCTTGTAGAGTATTTGAGTTGATTGACCTGGTCTTATGTTACTTATACAACTGCGTGTTAAGAAAACGAAAAAAGCCCTGAGATTGAATGCAATTTACCCATCCCGTTTATTGAACTTTTTAAATGAAGCTGTATAATATGAAATAAAGTATATTTTTCAAGCATATTCAAATGTTATGAAAGTGTCCATTGAACATGCCGAAATTTTACTTATTCCCCCACTAACGACCAAGTAAAATATGGATTGTCAATCAAATTTAAAAAAAAACGTAGAATATATCACTTTGTAAGAAACTTGTTAAGCAATAATAATTTAATTAATTGATAAAACATAAAAACAAATATATATTTTAAAAAATGCAAATAAAACAAGTTTTGTTTAACACAATGCGCAGAACGCAAATGGCCCGGGGGGCTTGTGTGAACTACAAAAGCCATGTGCTTTGTCTCAAAAGCGTTACTTACATGTAGCTGCATGGAAACAGTCTTCAACCGTCCTGTTGTCTAGATGTCCATGTGAATAACGCATACAATACCTGTGTTGCACGCGCAGCAAGTGCTCGTGTGAACGCACTTGACATGCATGGGCACGAACGCTCACACAAACCTAATAAAATCTTGTCACTAAGTCAAGAACTTTTATGTAATTCATATAACAACCATGCCTAGAATGTGCCCGCTCTAGCGATGCGTCTTCTGCTGGATCTTCCCAGGCTCCAAGACAGCGATGATGGTCTCCACGTCTTTCTGCTTCCCCAGGTCCATGTCCACTTCTGATATGAAATGATTCATGATTATATAACAATAATAAAATATCAATAATATTAAAATAAATAATAATAAATTATGCACAAGACGAATATGTACCGTAACACAAGGTTTTTGAATTTCATTTTAGCCAAGCTGAATCAAGTCAAGTTGAACTGAACCGATATAAAATCAAATTACACCACCTCACGACTCACCCAGAACATCCAGTCTCTTATTACCTCCGCCAAGGAGGCTATGTTTTCACCCCTGTTTGTTTCGTTTGTCTGTCTGTCTGACTGTCATCAACATAACTCAAAAAGTTATGGACCGATTTTGATGAAATTTTTAGGAACTGTCAGAAGTGGGCCAAGGAGGACAATGATTAGTTATTGGTGGTGATCCAGATCAATAATCAATCAATAATCAATAATCAAAAATAAAAATACTAAATCATTATAGAACTAGACAAGAACTCAGAGAGCGCAGACCTCCGCCAAGTCAGCAAAGTCTCCATCCAATGCCGTTTAACCCCTAACACAGTAATTAAATCTCGGCTCAATTCAACCGGTTGAGGGACAACGCGTGGGGAGGCGTGTGAGAAGCGGAGAGACATTTCAGGATTAGCGGTCTTCCTTTCATATTGGTCCGCCATATTTAGGTCCCGGTTTTGTTAAACATTGGTTCTTCTCGATGTGAATGCTCTCTAGTTCTACAATGTACTACTTCTATAATATTCGATTGAATTATTAATCCAAAATACTCATAATGCTAGATGAATCCTCAAATGAAAGGTATGCCCTAGATGACGAACCCTATCTTTATGACGAACGTTTCTTGGTGACGTCAGATGAGAAATTTACGGTTTAAGTTGCATCAGTTCTGAACGTGCCCACAAACGGTCAAAAGCTTCCCTTGAAAATGTGTAGTCTGCACCCCTTTCATGTTTGATATCACGGTGCCACAAACGGTTTTGTTTACGATTTTGATCTTTTGAAATTGTTCTACAACAGACGAAATCAGCAGGGTGGTAGACAGTAAAGCGGGCGCAGACACAGTCCGTCCTGCAGCTTTTTTATGACATGAGCACTACGTTTTATTCAGTTGTCTCATATTTACCGCACGGTAATTTCGAGTTCAGCTGCTTTCGCAACTCGACTCTCGGCTGCCTGAAGCATAAGTTACCGGTAAGATTAATCGCTTAAGTTATTTCAACAGTCCCTTTTGCTAGCTTTGCATTGTCAACGTCCGTCACAAATGATTTGTAAAATTGGGCGTAGGATAACTGAAAAAAAAAGACAAAAATCGGAAAAGTGGAACATTTTTGGTTAATATGTTGGTTAATTTTTTATTCAGACAACGTATGTGTTTTTATGGAGACAGACACCGCATTTATCCATGTCGTCGCCGTCCGACAAAATTACACTTCACCCTAGAACTGCCAAACTTTATTTTCACTTTTACTTCAAACAAGTGTCTTTCGAAAATTGGCGTGAATAGATTGATTTCAAGCCCCACAAGTGCCAAACCGTGCTTTTGATTTTACCTCAATTTTACTGAAAAGCATCAGTCTTAATACTTTGAAATGAGCCTTAGTGTAACATTTGAAGTCCAATCAATATCTATATTTAGAAGATGTCTTAATATCTCGCCACCATACTAGCAGTTGTTCTTGTGACAGTGACCATATGGTTAGAGAAAACCAAGCGGTGTGCTGCTTTCAGGTCAAGAATGCAAATGGCTGGTGTCAAGACTGTACATAGGTAGGAAAACTATTTTTAGTATTTATTACCGACTGACAAAAGGAAGATATATTAAGAAAACAAATGAATAAATAGAAATATGAAGAATAAAAAAAGGTTCTCACTACATACCAACACCTATTGATACTGACAGTTTATGTGGAAGTGTATTGATTTAAAATTACATATGGCTTCATGAGGAAAGATATACTAGGTGAATATATAAAAAGTCTTCCTACCATGTTTACGGAAACTTGTTTTTCGATAATCTCATTAATGACCCCATTCCCAGAGATTAGATCGATCCAACTAGATCGACCAAACTCCCTGGGGGTTCACGCTAAATAGCTGTCAGCCGAGCGGGCACGAAAGTTAATTACCCCCTTACAGCTTGTAGTAGGCGGGACGGACATTTAAGCCGGATTATCTGACAGTAATCTAGTGAGACTCCGCACGGGGATAGATCGATCTAAAATCTATATCTCTACTGGTGTTAATGAAAAACGGTCTGACAAGCAGGTCTTTGGTGAAGCTGAGTATCACTATTAAATGTCTTCCATATTTGGCCTTTCTCCTGTGCGGTATGGCGGGCGTCCTGACGTTGTGTCTTCTTTTCATCTTCAGAGTACACCGAATTGTGGCTACGGAAAGTGTAACATATTCGGCTGTGCTTTCGCAGGAGGTTGTAGGAAGAGTTGTGATCCAGGGTTCAGTGGTTATGTGTAAAAAATAGTAAGTATCCGTCTGTTTTCAGTATACATGTAATATCCTACCTGTTTTTACCTCGCCATGATTGCCGCCAGACAAATCCTCCGGTAACGGCATCTTATGATCCTATAATTAAATTACTTTTATCACCTTTTTATAGCAGGCCTACATGTACAATCTTACCTATAGTTGCGAAATATTTACAATAATAATAATTATTGTAATAATAATTTTGTTTTCATTAAGATACAAGCAGCTGATATGTAATAAGTTATTACAATACATATTCCTGCATTTCAACGCTGAATTAAAGAATACACTTTTATTTGAAACTGAGCTATCTTTGAATTTGAAGTATTTATTATGTCCCAGAAATAGCAACTGACAGGAAAAACAGACCTTGTTTTCCCTTTTTGGTTAAAAAAAATCCGTGTCCCCTTAGGAAAAGGCCCTATGGGATCCTGTAATCATGGCTAACGTTATGTCACAATTAACAGAAATAGAAGAGACTAGGAAGGCCTTAAGGAAACTAATAATATCAAATATGGACCGATTTTGCAGCTCTTTTTTTAGTTTGTGCTGTATTTTTTGTCGGTCATTTTTCTATAATAGTAACGTGCTTATATGCTATCATTAACCCTATTTTGTTCAGATAAATTCGCAATAAAACGCCAAATAAAATAAATAAATGTCTGTCAGCAAATGCTGTAATTTTTTTCCCTCACAAATTGACGGCCATGTTGAAAAAATGATTAACGTCTCAGAAGGAGTAACAGAATTCCTTTTACTTTTCTCACTTAAAAGAACGTTTATCTGTAGAAAAAATGGAAAGAATATTGCACGATGAGCCCTGTGGAAACTTAAATATGTACATAATGTAATTACGTTGCCAATCCCTCAAGTTCAGAATCTTCGGTGAATGAGTAAGGACTACTTGTACATTTCAGTTGGACAAATTCATATTACTACTGTACGTGCACCTTAAAAAGAAAAAGGGCGAACAGGGTGAGGCCACTGAACTCAGTAGCATTTATGTATCGACGATTCATGTAAGAAAAGTTAATACAGGGTAAGATATATATATATACTCGTTTTCTGTCATTTTACTTTACTGATTGGGAAAGAACAAATATTTAACCAAACAATGCTTTTTAATTCGAGGCTTACATTGTACACATGGAAGCTTAGCATGGCAGTGTCCATGTATACGATTATTTTAATCAAAGACTTAGGGCATATTTAGTGGTACATCAGCAGCCAAACATTGGTTTCTTCCTACGCCATCGATCTTAGGGTGGTAATTATATATTTTTCAAATCTGTTTTTCAGAAATGGTCCTTAATCTGAGGCCTAGTTTGACCTTGTAAAACCACGCATGTTGAGGAAAGGAAGCGTAGTGAAAATAAATTAATTGCGCCAATAAACAATATTCAGAAAAAGGAACACATTTTTTATTTTCCATTCTATACCACTTTTGAGTAAGTAATCGTAACCTCTTTCTGTTACTTGTTAGAAGTAAAAAGAGGTCGTTTTTTATTTTATAAAAATAGCTTTTAAAGTATAGACATAAATGTACTTGTATTGTACACCACAATACATAATTTAAGTGAAACTGTAAAGTCAGTTAACTCATAGAAAGGAGAAGCTCTAAACGCCTGGAAGGTATTTTAACTATTTAAAAAACAATAAAATAGTGACTCCCAAACAGGGTGAATTTGTACTGTTGTAAAATAGCCTGTAATTTGACAGAACTTAAGAGAAAACAACCAAAAATATGCGCTGATGTGCCGCAATGCGCTCTCTAGTCTGCCGTTATATATGAACACACTCTTCGCAAATTCCCCAAAAATCTCGCTTCATATATCCAATGATTTCAATTTAAATTGATATTTCGGCGAATTTTAGTCGATAATTGAGGACTTGGTATATAAAATGAGATGCCTTTTCCATGGTATACGTGGGTATGTATAAGTCTATCATTTCTGGCACATTTGTGTTGAACGGATTGGCATTAGTACATCACGTGTTTAGTCACTTGAATTTAAAAGAAAATCCCCGAAATCTCATTTGTATACAAGTCCATTGATAAATGCTGCCCCCTGTTTCCGTACGTAATTTCCAACGTTAAACAGGATAAAAAGATGGCATCAGTAACGAAGATTTCAACTACCAGTAGATTCCAGTGTATGTGCACAAAGCTTGTTAACGACATGAAAGTCAGCCAGCAGCATATCGTAAGTTCCACGTGACTATAGTGATTTGCCTTTGTCTCTGTTCATTCATGATAGAGTTACAAGTGGGTGGGGGGGTCAACAAAAATTTTTTTTACATTCATTTTTTCATTACATATTTACATATTCTTCGTTGACTGACCGCTGGGAAGTTGCACTTATCAATTTTTCAAAGTGGACCAGCCAAGTGAACTGCTTTGTTCAAAAGGAGACTGAAGACTCAGTAAATAGGGTGTTTGTGCATTTCAGCTAGGGTAAATCCTATTACAAGTACTGCACATAGAAGAAAGATGTTATGAGGTCGACTAGACACCAGCTTGAACATGGACATTTGGGCTAAAGCTCTTGAACTCGATGAGATACTGGTTGAGACGCTTACATCTGGGAAAGATTATACGCATGACTGTATTTATAATTGCTTTGGTTCGTTTCCAGTGCAAGGACGTGTAAGGACAGTGTAAGGGGCGGTGAATAATTCACCAGACAATGCTTTTACACACAGGAAACCTTACCTAGTTAGTTTTGAATGAATTTCTCAGATATTAACCATGAACTAAATCGACGTAATAAAAGAGAAAACTGCGCCTTTCTTGACTAACAACATCAACTGAGGCTAATAAAACCGCCGTTTGATGGTAGCACGCCTTTCTTACCATTCCCCCCTCAAAGGGTCCATTGTCCATAATTTCTAAATTGTATTTCCAATTTTTATTCTGTTTTTCATATCTAGTCTAAAACAGTGAAAGTAACTCAACAGATTGTGTAATGTATATCACGTGAAAAACGGACAGTTATTTTGCTCAAGTTGTACATATAAGATCACAATAAGGGGCATATGTACATGTGGCTATAGCAGTACATTGGATATGGATTAAGATGAAATTAAATTCATACTGAGCAAACTCGATGTAAATCGTGTATAAATATTCTGGTATAGGAAGTACTACAGGTAGATAAAGATAGTCGGCTTAGTGGCCGAAAATACTTCTGAATTTCAGCATACAATCTTGAAAATAGCATATGAGACTAAGAATTTTTTTCTCATTTTATAGTTTTTACCGTAACCCGAGTTAAAATTGTTTATCGCTATATCTATACCATGTGTTGTGGGATGTTTGGGACATGTTATACAACTAAGAGTCGGCTGTATACCCATACTGCTTAAATGTTAGGTCTACCGCTCGTAGTTGTGTACAATTATACAGCACAAATCGCATTTTGACCATCCTATTTATTGGCATTTGAAAACAAAGCTGCATAATATGAAAAATATCTATTTTTCAAACATATTCAAATGTTATGAAAGTGATCATTGAACATGCTAAGTTTCTACTTATTCCCCCACTTACGACCAAATAAAATAACGATTCATTGTCAATCAACTAATAAAAAAAAAACGTTTCGTATACCACTTCGTAAAACATTTGGCAAGCAATATTAATTCACCAAATAAACAATAAAAACTAATGAATTAATAAAAAATAATAATTAAATAAAATGAAATATTTTGTTCAACACAATGCACGAAAAACAAATCACTCCGACAGCTTTGGTGAACTACAAAAGCCATGTGCTTAGTTTCAAAAGCGTTACTATATAAAGGCAGAAACCACCAAATAGACTTATCACAGGCTGTTATTGAATGTAGTGCTGTGAGAGAAAGTAGTGATTTATTTCCAATTTTTTCCTGGAATTTCTTGTGTGTTGCTAGGGTTAATTTTGGTATTAACTAGCAAGCTAGGGTGTAAACTACTGCCATTTTTTTGTCAGCACCAAGCAAAGGTGTCGTGCAGCGTAAGGCCTCTGGCAGAGGGAGCTACTGACAGTGAGCGGTGCAGTGGTTTGTTTACAAACAACAGAGTGCACGTGTTCAAGTGTAAGGAAAGAACCTTGTCAACAGTAGTTTTTTTTGTGCCATGGGGAGTTATGTCTGCTGTCCTTGGGGATAGGAAATGTTTTACCAAATACTTTTGTTTCATGAAGTTTGCAGGTATTTTTCAGTATGGTCGTCAATAAGAAATAATATAGTGGTTTCTGACCTATATTTAAGCTGCAAAGAAACTATATGCGACCGATCTCTTTTCTAGACACTATGTAAATGACGCATATGCATGCGAGTGCACGCGTGAACACTCATGTCCATGGAAAAGAACGCGAATTCAAACGTAAAAATATATTGCCACTAAGTCAAGAACTTTTGTGTAATTCATATAACAACCATGCCTAGCATGTGCCCGCTCTAGCGATGCGTCTTCTACTGGATCTTTCCAGGCTCCAAGACAGCGAAGACGGACTCCACGTCTTCCTGCTTCCCCAGGTCCATACCCACTTCTAATGTGAAATAAGTCGTAATAAAATAAATGATTCAGAATTATATAACATCAATAAAATATCAATAATAATAAAATCGATAATAATAATAATAATAATAATATTGATAATGCACATGAAGAATATGGACTATAACACAAATAAGTACTTAAATTTCATTTAAGCCAAGCTGAATCAAATCAAGTTGAACTTAACAGATATAAAATCAAATAACACCACCTCACGACTCACCCAGAACCTCCAGCCTTTTATTTTAAACTTAGATCGTATTTGATACCAAGCTTGGATGTCAATGCTCATAGGGTCGTGTCCGTGGTAGAACGAGAAGCAAACCCCAGGGTAGAGCTTCCCTTCTCCTTCAACTAGGTAATTGAGAGTGACGCCTACGTCAATCCCACCACGAACTAGCGCCTGGAATCAATGTGTGAATAACATGCAGTGAATTTATCTCTGTCCTTATAGTATTAGGTAATGATATATATATATATATATATATATATATATATATATATATATATATATATATATATATATATATCGTTAATGATACGGCCAGTGTTTTGCGTAGAGACTAATTACAAACAGCAGCCAAATTACACTACAAGGATTATTTTAAATTATATTTATGAACTCTTAAATTGATTAAGTTAGCACACGTTACTTTGACGTTTATTTCACCAAACATCTATAATATATTTCGTTTTTCCTTTATGATTTTAAATTGTCACTGAAAAATACATAGATGTCACTTTCCTAAAAAAATCTAATTTCTAATTCACAAAAACAGCTATTACAATGTACACACACATACCTAAACGTCTCTCTCTCCCCCCTCTCTCCCTCTCTCTCTCTCTCTATGTATGTGTTTATACAGGTTATATACTGGTACTTACAAGCAAACTAGCAGAAGCACCACCAGAAATACGAAGGCCTGCTTTGAGCGTCATCGTCAGACGTGGGAACAAGGATCTGTTGAACGAGAACAGAACCCTGCCCTTACATTGAAGTCCACACTTGGAGCCAAGGTAATGGCGACAGAGATCCTGGCGACATAGACATAAATGTGGAACAAGGTGATGGTTTTTGGGAATGGTCTGTAAATGGGGTAGTTTCTGTACAGCGGGCTGGGCTGGTATATGTTCACCACAGTCTTCCCGTAGACATGAAGATAAACCTTAGTCCTACTGCTGCTAGTCTTGACACGATACACTTCTGCGGTTGCGAGTGTGAAGCTTTTGGAAAAGACTTTGAGTTTAGCTACTGCCTTGCCGTACACTTTACAGTGTCCTCGTCTTTCATCTTTACCAGCAAAGACGCCGGACTTGACATAGACGTTAACTTTCGAAGGGCCGTAACTGATGTGGGAAAGGCAGTGCTTGTTGTCTGGGAACAGGGAGTTATCATTTGAGAACTGACTTGAACTTAACAATTCCGAATACCGTGAACCGTAGGTGCCCCAAGAACTGCAGCTTACATGGTCAACTCTTCTCTTGGTGCGCGTGGAATTCACCGTCTCGTAAATTTCAATGTGTTTACTAATCGGTACACCTTTAAGTCGGAAATACTGCTTTATATCTGAAAATGCGCACTCGTATCTTATATCTGCCATGAGAAGTACATCGAGAAGAATTCTATCCACGTCTGTGTGACCTGCATTGGGCCATGCCTTATTTTTGGTATCCAGTACCTTTCTGTAGGCAAGTTCATCTTTAATGGTCACCACGGCACCTTCAATTAATTCACAGCTAGATGTTGGACGGGTCAGCAAATCAACTAGCCATTTCTGAACTGACTCAACGTGGAAGTTTCTTCTCAGAGCGTGGATACAGCCTATTTCTATCTCTTCCAGTTGTCCCCTCTTTTTAGCAATTGTCAATACATCCGGTGTTAGTCTGTTGTCACCAAAGTTACCTATAGCCTCGAGAGCGTCACTGATTTGCTCCGTGTTGTTATTTTTGTCGCCTGATTGGAGATGGCGTCGAAGAAGATCCACCAATTCTGATCGGAAACCAGTGCTGGTAGTTTCCTTGGAGGCGAGGGAGCCGAGGGTAAGTATGGCGTGACTTTGGGATGGATCACCTTGAGAGGACAGCGTGTTCCAGAGTGTCTTGACTGTGGTCAGGATGTGGTTTGTAGGTTTGGCAATAAAAGACATCTTCTGAACCAGTTCCTGCTTTTGGTCGGCAGAAAGGGGGTGAGACTGGACCAGATCTGCCAGCGTCTAGGAAAGACAAAACATGGCAGTGTGCTACGCGTTGTGTAAAATTGTATCCAAAATGTTACATTTATAGCGTTAATGTTACGTCTGTCAACCTTCTCAAAGCCACAAGTGTAATAAATGTTACGTATAACCGCTGAGTTAAATGTCTTTTTGTGCAGTATCGCAAAATTACGTTTGTACATTTTCAGAGTTTGTACAATACATACTTAAACAGATGAGAATTACAACAACAGGGTATAAATGGCACTTCGTATTTTACCGTACGTTACCTTTTCGACTTCTTTGCCGCCTGCAGTGATGTAAAGATCCAATATATCTTTACAAATTTCCCAACGTGTCGAGCACTTGGTAACAATCTTTAAGTACAGGATATAATATACGTTTGGTGACTTAACATTTAGTGCTTTAAGCAAGCCTCAATAAGAAACCCATCAAAAGTTAAGGTATATAAAATGTATTAATTAACGTTATACATAAATCTCAGCAACCATAAAATTAACATATCTATACAAGTATACAATGTCCATATGTAAAACACATATTCAAACACGTTCAGAAATGAAAACGCAAGTAAAGGTGCCCAAACAGAACTGACAAGCAGTCTTTTTTAATTAGGCAGGGAAACTATTTTGAAAAACGAAAACAAAAAAGGTAATGTACACATGTATGTAAATACAGATCACACAGTAGTCTAAAATATAATCTACGTTTTTTTGTCAGTTTTCTTGATATTAAAGACCATACAGTAAATTTTGGTTTTGGTTATAGCCTACATACTTTTTAAACTGTTACATGCTCAAAGGGTTATAGAATATTATTAAAGTCAAACCTCTTTTGTTGCTTGTAGCAGTTGCTTAACCAAGGGCGGTTTGTTGGCGGCTGCAGAGGTTGCAGTGTTGTGTGGCATCCCTAGCTCATTTTCTAGCGACAGTATTTCGTTCACTTCGTCCACTGTAATAAAAAATCTGGTCAACATATGTAGGTGCATGTACGGTACACAATGACAGTTTTCGGAATACCTGTGTAGGTAAGACAGCAAGCAGAGTACAAAAGTCAATATTAAACCATTTGCATATCATATACATGAAATAATGTTTAATTATACCCAATTGAAATATGCATTAGCGTTTGATACGCCCGTGATTCTATTTTTTTCACCACAAATATTTATACAGAAAGTCTTTGGCAGATATTTCAACAGTGTTGGTAACTAAATCGTTCTTTAAAAAGTTAAATAACACATACATTTTGACAGAGCTGATGGATCCTTTATGAAGTTCGCCACAGCTCGACTTAAATTATCATCTCCGTCGAACTTTTTCCTCAAAACAGTCCATCTTTGGTAAACACCAGACACTGCAATTAGGGATCATAATGTGCAGTACATGATAATATGTAGAATGACATTGAAACATAATTTTATTAGTAGTGCATGCAGAAATCCGTTTTTTCACCATGTTCTCTGAACTGCATTTTCTTCGAGAGATGAGGAAAGGGAATATTGCACTAATAGCTTTTTCACAAAAAAGCCACTTTNTAAACACACTCTTCGCAAATTCCCCAAAAATCTCGCTTCATATATCCAATGATTTCAATTTAAATTGATATTTCGGCGAATTTTAGTCGATAATTGAGGACTTGGTATATAAAATGAGATGCCTTTTCCATGGTATACGTGGGTATGTATAAGTCTATCATTTCTGGCACATTTGTGTTGAACGGATTGGCATTAGTACATCACGTGTTTAGTCACTTGAATTTAAAAGAAAATCCCCGAAATCTCATTTGTATACAAGTCCATTGGTAAATGCTGCCCCCTGTTTCCATACGTAATTTCCAACGTTAAACAGGATAAAAAGATGGCATCAGTAACGAAGATTTCAACTACCAGTAGATTCCAGTGTATGTGCACAAAGCTTGTTAACGACATCAAAGTTGTCTCTGTTCATTCATGATAGACTTACAAGGGGGGGGGGGTTGTTTTTACATGCATTTTTTCATTACATATTTACATATTCTTCGTTGACTGACCGCTGGGAAGTTGCACGTATCAATTTTTCAAAGTGGACCAGCCAAGTGAACTGCTTTGTTCAAAAGGAGACTGAAGACTCAGAAAATAGGGTGCTTGTGCATTTCAGCTAGGGTAAATCATATTACAAGTACTGCACTTAGAAAAAAGATGTTATGAGGTCGACTAGACACCAGCTTTAACATGGACATTTGGGCTAATTAAAGCTCTTGAACTCGATGAGATACTGGTTGAAACGCTTACATCTGGGAAAGATTATACGCACGACTGTCTTTATAATTGCTTTGGTTCGTTTCCAGTGCAAGGACGTGTAAGGACAGTGTAAGGGGCGGTGAATAATTCACCAGACAATGCTTTTACACACAGGAAACTTTGCCTAGTTAGTTTTGAATGAATTTCTCAGATATTAACCATGAACTAAATCGACGTAATAAAAGAGAAAACTGCGCCTTTCTTGACTAACAACATCAATTAAGGCTAATAAAACCGCCATTTGATGGTAGCACGCCTTTCTTACTATTCCCCCCTCAAAGGGTCCATTGTCCATAATTTCTAAATTGTATTTCCAATTTTTATTGTGTTTTTCATATCTAGTCTAAAACAGTGAAAGTAACTCAACAGATTGTGTAATGTATATCACGTGAAAAACGGACAGTTATTTTGCTCAAGTTGTACATATAAGATCACAATAAGGGGCATATGTACATGTGGCTAGCAGGACATTGGATATGGATTAAGATGAAATTAAATTCATACTGAGCAAACTCGATGTAAATCGTGTATAAATATTCTGGTATAGGAAGTACTAGATAAAGATAGTCGGCTTAGTGGCCGAAAATACTTCTGAATTTCAGCATTCAATCTTGAAAATAGCATATGAGACTAAGAATTTTTTTCTCATTTTATAGTTTTTACCGTAACCCGAGTTAAAATTGTTTATCGCTATATCTATACCATGTGTTGTGGGATGTTTGGGACATGTTATACAACTAAGAGTCGGCTGTATACCCATACTGCTTAAATGTTAGGTCTACCGCTCGTAGTTGTGTACAATTATACAGCACAGATCGCATTTTGACCATCCTATTTATTGGCATTTGAAACCAAAGCTGCATAATATGAAAAATATCTATTTTTCAAACATATTCAAATCTTACGAAAGTGATCATTGAACATGCTAAGTTTCTACTTATTCCCCCACTTACGACCAAATAAAATAACGATTCATTGTCAATCAACTAAAAAAAAAACGTTTCGTATACCACTTTGTAAAACATTTGGCAAGCGATATTAATATTAATATTAATTCACCGAATAAACAATAAAAACTAATGAATTAATAAAAAATAATAATTAAATAAAATGAAATATTTTGTTCAACACAATGCACAAAAAACAAATCACTCCGACAGCTTTGGTGAACTACAAAAGCCATGTGCTTAGTTTCAAAAGCGTTACTACATGTACATAAGGGCAGAAACCACCAAATAGACTTATCACAGGCTGTTTTTGAATGTAGTGCTGTGAGAGAAAGTAGTGATTTATTTCCAATTTTTTCCTGGAATTTCTTGTGTGTTACTAGGGTTAATTTTGGTGTTAACTAGCAAGATAGGGTGTAAACTAATGCCATTTTTATGTCAGAACCAAGCACAGGTGTCGTGCAGTGTGAGACCTCTGACAGAGGGAGCTACTGACACTGAGCGGTGCAGTGGTTTGTTTACAAACAACAGAGTGCATGTGTTCAGGTGTAAGGAAAGAACCTTGTCAACAGTATTTTTTGTGCCATTGGGAGTTAAGTCTGCTGTCCTTGGGGATAGGAAATGTTTTACCAAACAGTTTGCAAGTATTTCTTAGTGTGGTCGTCAGTAAGAAATAATTTAGTGGTTTCTGACCTATATCTAAGCTGCATAGAAACAATCTGCGACCGACTTCTTATTTAGATTCTATGTAAATAACGCATATGCATGCGAGTGCACGCATGAACACTCATGTACACGTACAAGAACGCGAATGCACACGTAAAATATCTTGGCACTAAGTCAAGAACTTTTGTGTAATTCATGTAACAGCCATGACTAGCATGTGCCCGCAATACGTCTTCTACTGGATCTTCCGAGGCTCTAAGACAGCGATGATGGCCTCCACGTCTCCCTGCTTCCCCAGGTCCATAGCCACTTCTGATATGAAATAAGTCGTAATAAAATAAATGATTTAGGATTATGTAACAACAATAAAATATCAAAAATAATAAAATCGATAATAATAATAATAATAATAATTATAATGCACATGAAGAATCTGGACTATAACACATGTACAAATAAGTAATTAAATTTCATTTAAGCCAAGCTGAATCAAATCAAGTTGAACTAAACAGATATAAAATCAAATAACACCACCTCACGACTCACCCAGATCCACAAGCTTCTTATTTTAAACTTAGATCGTATTTGATACCAAGCTTGGATGTCAATGCTCATGGGGCCGTGTCCGTGGTAGAACGAGAAACAAACCCCAGGGTAGAGCTTCCCTTCTCCTTCAACTAGGTAATTGAGAGTAATTGAGAGTGACGTCGACATCAATCCCGCCGCGAACCAGTGCCTGGAAAGAATGTATGAATTACATGTAGTGAACTAATCTGTCTTTATAGTATCAGGTAATGATTATATATATATATATATATATATATATATATATATATATATATATATCATATATATATGTCGTTAATGATACGACCAGTGTTTCGCGTAGAGACTAACAAACAGCAGCCAAATTACACTGCAAGGATTATTTTAAATTATATTTATGAAACCTTAAATTGATTAAGCTAGCACACGTTACTTTGACGTTTATCTCACCTAACATGATTGTGATTAAAAATTGTCACTGAAAAATACATAGATGTCACTTTTCTAACAAAAAAAAAAATCGAATTTTCAATTCACAAAAAACATCTATTACAATGTACACACACATACATGTACTTTAACGTCTCTCTCTCCCCCCTCTCTCCCTCTCTCTCTCTCTCTCTCTATGAATGTGTTTATACAGGGTATGTACTGGTACTTACAAGCAAATTAGCAGAAGCACCACCAGAAATACGAAGACCTGCTTTGAGGGTCACCGTCAGACAGTGGGAACAAGGATCTGTTGAACGAGAACAGAACCCTGCCCTTACATTGAAGTCCACACTTGGAGCCAAGGTAATGGTTACAGAGATCTTGGCGACTAAGACATAAATCTGGAACAAGGTGACGGTTTTTGGCGATGGTCTGTAAATGGGGTAGTTTTTGTACAGCGGGCCGGACTGGTAAATGTTCACCACAGTCTTCCCATAGAAATTGAGATAGACCCTTGTTCTACTGCTGCTAGTCTTGATACGATACACTTCTGCGGTTGCGAGTGTGAGGCTCCTGGAGAAGACTTTGAGTTTAGCTACTGCCTTGCCGTACACTTTACAGTGTCTTCGAACTTCATCTTTACCAGCAAAGACGCCGGACTTGACATAGACGTTAACTTTCGAAGGACCGTAACTGATGTGGGAAAGACAGTGCTTGTTGTTTGGGAACAAGGAGTTATCATTTGAGAACTGACTAGAACTTAACAATTCAGAATAGCGTGAGCCGTAGGTGCCCCAAGAACTGCAGCCAACATGGTCAACTCTTCTCTTGGTGCGCGTGGAATTCACTGTCTCGTAAATTTCAATGTGTTTACCAATCGGTACACCTTTAAGTCGGAAATACTGCTTTATATCTGAAAATGCGCACTCGTATCTTATATCTGCCATGAGAAGTACATCGAGAAGAATTCTATCCACGTCTGTGTGACCTGCATTGGGCCATTCCTTATTTTTGGTATCCAGTATCTTTCTGTAGGCAAGTTCATCGTTGATGGTCACCACGGCAGCTTCAAGTAATTCACAGCTAGATGTTTGACGGGTCAGCAAATCAACTAGCCATTTCTGAACTGACTCAACGTGGACGTTTCTTCTCAGAGCGTGGATACAGCCTATCTCTATCTCTTCCAGTTGTCCTCTCTTTTTAGCAATTGTCAATACATCCAGTGTAAGTCTGTTGTCTCCAAAGTTACCTATAGCCTCAAGAGCGTCACTGATTTGCTCCGTGTTGTTATTTTTGTCGCCTGATTGGAGATGGCGTCGAAGAAGATCCACCAATTCTGATCGGAAACCAGTGGTGGTAGTTTCCTTCGAGGCGAGGGAGCCGAGGGTAAGTATGACGTGACTTTGGGATGGATCACCTTGAGCGGACACCGTGTTCCAGAGTGTCTTAACTGTGGTCAGGATGTGGTTTGTAGGTTTGGCAATAAAGGACATCTTCTGAACCAGTTCCTGTTTTTGGTCGGCAGAAAGGGGGTGAGACTGGACCAGATCTGACAGCGTCTAGGAAAGACAAAACATGACAGTGTGCTGCACGTTGTAAAAAATTGTATCCAAAATGTTTCATTTATGGCGTTAATGTTATGTCTGGCATCCTTCTCAAAGCCACAAGTGTAATAAATGTTACATATAACCGCTGAGTTAAATGTCTTTTTGTGCAATATTGTAAAATTACGTTTGTACATTTTCAGAGTTTGTACAATACATACTTAAACAGATGAGAATTACAACAACAGGGAATAAATGGCACTTCGTATTTTACCGTACGTTACCTTTTCGACTTCTTTGCCGCCTGCAGTGATGTAAAGATCCAGTATATCTTTGCATATTTCCCAATGTGTCGAGCACTTGGTAACAATCTTTAAGTACAGGATATAATATACGTTTGGTGACTTAACATTTAGTGCTTTAAGCAAGCCTCAATAAGAAACCCATCAAAAGTTAAGGTATATTAAATGCATTAATTTTACGTTATATATAAATCTCAGCAACCCTAAAATTTACATATCTAGACAAGTATACAATGTCCATTTGTAAAACACATATTCAAACACGTTTAGAAATGAAAACGTAAGTAAAGGTGCCCAAACAGAACTGACAAGCAGTCTTTTTTAACTAGGCAGGGAAACTATTTTGAAAAACAAAAACAAATAAGGTAATGTACACATGTATGTAAATACAGATCACACAGTAGTCTAAAATATAATCTACGTTTCTTGTCAGTTTTCTTGATATTAAAGACCATACAGTAAATTTTGGTTTTGGTTATAGCCTACATACTTTTTAAACTGTTACATGCTCAAAGGGTTATAGAATATTATTAAAGTCAAACCTCTTTTGTTGCTTGTAGCAGTTGCTTAACCAAGGGCGGTTTGTTGGCGGCTGCAGAGGTTGCAGTGTTGTGTGGCATCCCAAGCTCATTTTCTAGCGACAGAATTTCGTTCACTTCGTCCACTGTAATAAAAAATCTGGTCAACATATGTAGTTGCATGTACGGTACACAATGACAGTTTTCGGAATATCTGTGTAGGTAAGACAGCAAGCAGAGCACAAAAGTCAATATTCAACCATTTGCATATCATATACATGAAATAATGTTTAATTATACCCAATTGAAATATGCATTAGCGTTTGATACGCCCGTGATTCTATTTTTCAACCACAAATATTGATATAGAAAGTCTTTGGCAGATATTTCAACAGTGTTGGTAACTAAATCGTTCTTGAAAAAGTTAAATAACACATACATTTTGACAGAGCTGATGGATCCTTTATGAAGTTCGCCACAGCTCGACTTAACTTATCCTCTCCGTCGAACTTTTTCCTCAATACAGTCCATCTTTGGTAAACACCAGACACTGCAATTAGGGATCATAATGTGAAGTACATGATAATATGTAGAATGACTTTGAAACATAATTTTATTAGTAGTGCATGCAGAAATCCGTTTTTTCACCATCTTCTCTGAACTGCATTTTCTTCGAGAGATGAGGAAAGTGAATATTGCACTAATAGCTTTTTCACAATAAAAAGCCACTTTCTTATCTTTTAAGGCATCCCCTCCTTCCTTCAGCCGCTCCCCCCTCCCCCAAAAAATTATAAATAAAGCAATGAGACAGAATTAAGAATTTTACATCTTCACTTACCCTGGTCATACTGTCCGACCAAGGATCTTTTCTGGAATTGGGCCTTAGCTGCCGCTTCCATTCTTTGAACGCCTTCGACGGAACGGTTTACGTGCTTGCGCAAGGTCAACGTGAAGGTCACGTTAGAGGTCAAATATGCCCCAAGATCAACATTACCCCCTTCCACAGGGTTGGTTGTGGTGTCATCCTGAGGGGATTTTAATATTAAATTTTACCAACGCTATGTAATATTAAATTTTAAATATATGCGCATATCCTATAACATGACTAGCATCTGCACGCTGTAGCGATGATTTGTATTCAATGTTTTTATATTTCATCTATCTGCAAAATTCAATGCACAATATACTGTGGTTTGCATGTAAAATATCCATCAGTTGTTTAAATTTAATAAATTTCCATGATCTCTTTTTTACCCGAGGAGCGAGCCCAAGACAAATAGTAATAAATAATGCTTCAAACGTACGTTTGACTGTACTTTGTAGATTGAGGCTTCATAAAATTTGTCAGAACTATCAGTAGCTACAGGACATGTTTCAAAACATTCAATCGATATATTAGTTTGGTTAATTCAATACAGTTCTTCATATCTGTAGTGCTGCTACATCAAATAAAATCTACCTGCTCAGCTGGTCTGTCAAACACCTGCACGTGCCCTGAGACGCTGGTCAGTATACCTCCATTAACATGCTGGACTTCATCTGTCTCGTTGTCCACTTCGTCGGTGTCCACGTCAGTGCTATTGTCGACGTTGACTTCCTTGGAAGAAACATGCTTCTTGATTTCCATTTCTCCAAACTGCAGCTCTGTTGACCTAGGGTCGAAGATTTGATGTTGATAATGTAAAGTAAAATTCTGAATTGGCAATGAAGTTGATGAGGCCAACAGCACTGCGCATTAAGATCTGAGCAAAAGTAAACAGAAAATGAAAAGACGAAATGTAATGTGAAAAGCAAAACAAAAATGAAAATATGACGATACGGATATATGTATATCCAGTATATATATATATATATATATATATATATATATATATATATATATATATATGACACAGACATGTTATACAAAAAGTAAACATAAAAAAGATGAACGCAACATGCAAAATGAATAAATACATAGATAAATAAATAACAATAAAATAATTTTCAAAACATCTACTTTTCTGGATTGTTATACTTATTCATTTTCATTTTATATTTTATATTTATTATATGCATTTTGCCTTCATATTTGCAAGTACCTCTTACAGCTATAGGACAAATAAAACACTGCACTTACTTGTAGTGAGAATTATGTGTCCCCATCACGTCTGTCTCTATGACATTTTCTTTGTCACGCACCAAATTCGTTTGAAGTGCCGATAAAATGGAGCGCTTGAAATTCATGACATCTGTATTTCCTGAAACAGATGTGGAAAAAGTCATGTTTGGAGTCCCATTCAAAATAAAGCTTTACATTAGGAATAATTAAATGCCTACGTGCATCGTTTCATGTAAATAATGTTACACACTCATTTACTTTCTGTCAGATTTAGAATTGTAACCTGGCCGGGCGTGTGTGTGGAAAGACACGTTTTACTAACGAAAGTATTCCCCATCCCATTCGGCCAGTACATGCTGTAGTTTCGATTTAAGACGTATCTCTGGATAGTTCATAGTATATTACCTCTTCATGGGAGAAGCATTACTACTTTATAATAGAAACCGACTTCACTGGTTAAAAGTAAGAACTCTCAGGCGACTTCTCGATATTTACCACTTCATGGGACATTTGTATCTAAACATGTTTCAGTTCTGGTTGGTAGAGAAAATAAGGCGAAAAGGTCGATATGATGTTTCATTTTAGACTAGACACACCATACCTAAATCTTCCTTGGTAAACCTGGCCTCGGCAATAGTTCCGTTTTCCAGTTGAACAAACAAGGTAGGCTGGTCATACAAGTCGTCAGCAGACAGGGGAGCCTCGGACTGGGAGGTTGTGCTATTGAAATGGAAACGAAGATTTGTGAAATCAGGGCCAGGAATAAAAACCCTACCTATTCTGATGGCATAAATAAGTTGATTTTCGTCAGCCTGCTCTTTAAACCGTTCTAATATGCTATATCAGTTAAGATCCACCCAAATCCAAAATATGCTAAGAAACACTTTTGAATTGGGAGTATGCATTACCAAAACATGTCACGTTCTGTAGATATTTTTTCATGTTTGCAATGCACATTTTGCAAAATATCTCAGAATATTTTGCAGCATTTTAACTAAGTTTAAGTAAGTTAAAATGTCCTCACCCATTGCCTTTAATTACTTGCACAAACACCCTGTGCATAAACATAAGAAAGGATGAAGCATTTTCATCCGGGTATTTTCCATAGCCATCTGTAAATCAAGCAATACATTGATATATAAAGCATGAAAATTATGCACGCGATATCGTCTAATATAAACTTCCTTAAAATGTGTGATAGATATTTTGCTGGTACATAGATAACTTAAATATTAATTGATATTTATTCTTGTATTTATTTACACATTGAAACTTGTAAATACATGTAAAATGAAAAAGCAACTGAAGTTGTCTCCTCTTTTATTTAAACTTAAGTGCCATTGGATTTTGACCTCTCTTCAGTCGCAGTAATAAAAAGGTAGACGACGCGCTGTCCATGCGTCATAAGCCTCTTCGGGATGTCTGTGAACTTTATTGTGACCTTGGCGACTGGCCCAAAGAGTACTATAAATCGAAATTATCGCATATTGCGTATTGCAGGAGTGTTACAGACAATTGTAAGCAGGTGTGTCAGGACCAATTAATACCTTAAGGTATTAATACAAGGTATTAATTGGTCCTGACACACCTGCTTAATATTCTCTATTCATGTAACTCATATGAGATAACTGAAAAAACATTCCTATTATACCAGTCACACCTTTTAAACTGAAATATTCCACATTACAGAACATGTCAAGTCTGTATAAACGATACATAAACAATATGTTCCCTAAACTATATCCCAGCGAATGAGAAATAAAAGGACTGTCGAATCGAAACTGCCGCGGATAAAAACTGTAAATAATCTACTGAACTTAGTGTGAGGCCATTAGACAAGAAATTACAAGATATTGGTTGTAGAATTGATCAAAAGCCTTACTTGGAGCGATAATACTATCAACGTTTTGAATAAAGTAAGACAGTGGGCGTAATTTTTATGAAAATTGAACGGTTTTATCATGAATGTGTCGGTTATGTTGACCTTTACAGGTGTGTAATAAAATGTATCTAACTCATGCGTTAATTGTATGGTTTGGGCGGGCAAGTGTTGAGGGAAAAAAAAGGAAAATGCATTCAAGACGGCAAGGGACGTGATTGGGGCAGAGCCAACTCCAATTGGATCTATTTATCTTGAAAGGGTAGCAAATAAAACAGTGTCTATCATGAGTGCCAAATTACATTTTACTGCTCACATCCTGTTTACAGTTTACTGCTCACATCCTGTTTACATTTTTATGAGATTTTAAGTGTCCCTTTTTAATACGAAGTAAACATTTTATGCATACTTTTTTTTTAGTTTTTTATTACCACGACGCTTTGAAAGAGCACTTTCTGCCTGAAAGTGTATATTTTATATATTTATTGGGTAAAATAAACCTTTATATTATCTCTCTTGTAATTGCTAGAAAGGAAGCATGTGCATTAATTAAATCATAAACATTATACTGTGTCATTAAACAAACCTAAAAAACGTAAACGCAGTACTACTGGATGTATTTATATCAAATAGTGTTACAACTATTTAGGAGAGGTAAAACGATTAAGTATCTCGCGTAATTGATATAGTAGATAGAAGAAAAAAAAGCATATCCAGATGAAATGTACAAAATACCTCCAATGTAGAGGAGATGTGAAATGTTTCCTCGGCCGGTCCGAACAGTTTGGCCTCGCTTTCATAGTGGTAATGGAGAGTTGTGCCCTGAAAACAAATTATTTATTTTTATCTTATTATTTCCTAGGATCAAACCATTAGATTTAACGGCGATTTAGATCTGTGATAAGATGGGTCGCATGAAACAGAACTATTATTCGCTTCACTCGGTTATGCCCCTATTTCACACAGACCACGAATCCCACGAATCGCCATGAATTGACAAATTTCAGGATTCGTGGTTGAATCGTAATCAGTTCCTGAAGTTCTTAACAGAGTCGTATATATTCGTAGTCAGTTCTTGCAATTCTTGACCAACAGGAATTCGTGGCAAAAACTTTGGTGCCCTTATTTCACACAGACCACGAATCCCACGAACTGACAAATTTCAGGATTCGTAATCAGTTCGTGAAGTTCTTAACAGATACATATATAATCGTAGTCAGTTCTTGCAATTCTTGATCAATCGGGAATTCGTGGCAAAAATTCTGAGCTGTTCAAAATTTTAGCCACGAACCCCCGATTCCAAAAAATCGTAGTGAATTTCTGGACAATATTCGTGCGATGCCAGCCTAATCCCACGAATATTCGTATCACTATCGCACCTGTATCGTAACTGAATCGTAGAGCGTGTCGAATTAGACCAGAAAATTGGCAAAATCTCACGAATCCTCACGAATCCTGAAATTTGTCAATACCTGTCGATTCGTGGGATTCGTGGTCTGTGTGAAATAGGGACATTACAGTAGATGTGTACTCCCTGTAGTTCCATCCCAGGGAAGTTGAAGAGAACGGATGTATGTTGTATAGAAATGAGTGTCCCGTCGACACTTAGTCCTGGGAATACTTGTCCTAGGTCTCCAATTCCTAGGACACGCATGCCCTGGGAGATGATTTGATATTAAAAGTACTGCGGACACCCATTCCTTAGTTTTCTTAGTCCTGCAGATAGGTAACAATGACCTTGTTGGACATGTGTTCCCCACCCGATGTTAATAGATGGCCCGTCATTTTTTTTTTGTTTTGTTTTAGAATTAATATTTTTACGATATTTAAAAAAAGACTAAAAATTGAGAAAATATCTCGTTTCCTTCACCTTAAATAAGTGCCTCATTTTTGGTTTGGCCTCGCACCATATACAACAGTGACATATACAGTTTGAGACTAAAGAGGAAACGCGTATCATATGAAGGATAAAAAAGTAATATAGCTGTTATCTTTTCTGTTTCCACTATTTGTCTTCATATTCTCCATTAATATTTGGCAGGTTGGCTCTGCATGGTACCAGAATGTTTCAGTCATTTTAATTCTTTGCATTTTGGAAGTATAGATGTAGAAATCATGAGACATGTAATGCCTCTCGATAATTTTTTAAAGGACTATTTTAATATCAAATATTAAAGAGTCACGCCTCATCGTTTTAAGAAAAATCCTGATATTTAAATAAAATAAATTTAAATCTTGCCACATCAAAAAATACTACTTGCATAACAATTTTGGTTTTAAAATGCATTTTTTGTTAGTTGAAATGACAGAGTGGAAGGGGAGGTAGGCTCTTTAATAAAGCTATAGATACACCCCATTTCCATAGATTTTTAGTTCGATCTATCCCTGTGGGGAGTCTCACTAGATTACTGTCAGCTTGGCCGGCTTAAGCGTCTGTCCCGCCTACTAAAAGCTGTAAGGGGGTAATTAAATATGGTGTCCGCTCGGCTGACTGCAATTTAGCCTGAACCCCCAGGGAGTTAAGTCGATCTAAATCTCTGGGAAAGCACCCATAGTGAGTAACATCGATGTTGACAATGTGGACTTCGTTCTCTCTTTAACCATGGGCCTATGTTGCCGCTGCTGCCAACCGAACGAAAATTACCGATACTTATCGCTTCGTGTTTATTATAATTGTACAGTACGGGCATTAATAACGCAACACTTCCATTTCTGTGTATATGTGAAAGGAGGTTAGGTCNAGTCGTATATATTCGTAGTCAGTTCTTGCAATTCTTGACCAACAGGAAATCGTGGCAAAAACTTTGGTGCCCCTATTTCACACAGACCACGAATCCCACGAACTGACAAATTTCAGGATTCGTAATCAGTTCGTGAAGTTCTTAACAGATACATATATAATCGTAGTCAGTTCTTGCAATTCTTGATCAATCGGGAATTCGTGGCAAAAATTTTGAGCTGTTCAAAATTTTAGCCACGAACTCCCGATTCCAAAAAATCGTAGTGAATTTCTGGACAATATTCGTGCGATGCCAGCCTAATCCCACGAATATTCGTATCACTATCGCACCTGTATCGTAACTGAATCGTAGAGCGTGTCGAATTAGACCAGAAAATTGGCAAAATCTCACGAATCCTCACGAATCCTGAAATTTGTCAATACCTGGCGATTCGTGGGATTCGTGGTCTGTGTGAAATATGGACATTACAGTAGATGTGTACTCCCTGTAGTTCCATCCCAGGGAAGTTGAAGAGAACGGATGTATGTTGTATAGAAATGAGTGTCCCGTCGACACTTAGTCCTGGGAATACTTGTC